AAAGGGCAGTCTTTCCCTGCAGTGGGAACCAAAGCAGCTGACATCATTCTCCTCTCCCCCATATGATCCGCACAACTACCCTATGAGGTATGTTAAGGTTGAAAGTGTGTGAATGGTCCATAATCCCCCAGGCAGCTTTTAAAACATGAACCTGGGACCTGCACACCATCTTCTGAAGCGCTCTCTGTGGCAGTAATGGGGTGACTGCTGGCACCTTTTCCTATCTTTTTTTGCCTTGTGGTATTCTGCTTGTGGTGTGATCTGTCTTCTTTGTGATGTGGCATGATTGTGTTATTGGGTTTATTTCTTTTGAAGGGGAAGTGATGTGTTCTGAGTGAGGACATATTTTACCTCAGAATACAGTAGGTTCCATATGCAACTGGCAATTCTAACTGCCTTGGGGAGGGGGGGGAGTTTGAGGTGTGGAATGGAGTGAAGTCCAATCAGCTTCCTTATGCAAAAGACCTTGAAACGCTGGGCGGGACTGCACAAAGCAGCCAGTCAACCCAGCCAGCGTCTTCTGACTGACAGTTCTTGCGGCCAAACACTAAAGGTGTGCATTTGGAACATTGGAGCCCACCACGGCTTTATATATAAGGGAGAGATGTGCTGATGGCATATCGTACATCAACACTGAGATACAAATAAACATCACAGTAACTGTGCTCACAGGGGCTGATAACAAAGTATGCACATAAATCCAACAGGTCAGTTCTCCTTGTTTAAGTGCAGTAAAAGTCCCCTCCCATCTGGAGGGCTGCCAACTTCCTGGTGTCACCTGGAGATCTCCCACTATTACAATTGAGCGTCAGACAATCAGGATCAGTTCACATGGAGAAAATGGCTTCTTTAGAGGTGGACTCTCTGGCATTATACCCTGCTGAGGTCCTTTCCCTCCCCAAAACTTGCCCTATTCTGGCTCCACCCCCCCCCCAAATCTCAAGGTATTTCCCAACCCAGAGCTGACAACCCTCCTCCAGCTGTGCCCGTGTGCACTGATATAATACTCCAATAAAGAAGAAGAAGAAGAAGAAGAAGAGATTGGATTTATACCCTGCCCTTCACTACCCAAAGGTGTCTCAGAGTGGCTTACAAACTCCTTTCCCTTCCCCTCCCCACAACAGACACCCTGTGAGGGAGGTGGGGCTGAGAGAGCTCTTGACAGAAACTGCTCTTTTTCAAGGACAGCTCTTATCAGAACTACGGCTTGCCCAAGGTCATCCAGCAGCTGCAAGTGGAGGAGTGGGGAATCAAACCCGGTTCTCCCAGATTAGAGTCCACACACTTAACCACTACACCAAACACGTGGCGGATAACGCGTGGGGGGGGGGGAGGTGTGGCTATTTGCGCCGTCACAATTTGACCTATCCTAGGGCGATCAGACATGACGGCGGTGTACCGGGTTTCTTCCCGTGGGTGCGTATTTCCAGCGCGCTCCAACGAGGAAGCACAGAGGCAAAAGGAGCGCGTTGGAGCGATCACACAGAGCAAGTCCGTCTGTGGCCCGTCGCAAACCATTTGAGAGTGGACTTTCACAGGTACTCCGCTTCTTTGGCTGACTGCTACGGGTTGCCAATGGGAGTGGGACGCCAGCCAGATGTGTCTGTTTGATCGCGCCAGTCAAATCCGGCCGGCATTTGTGAGTATCCCATGGCAAATTCTGCGTGTGATCGGGGCCTTGATATGTCACAATAAGTTCTCTGTTTGGTGAGGCTCGATCCAAGCGCAGCGCAAACAGGATCTTGATAAATCAACATGGACAGTCAGGTCAAGATGGCTTTCTTGCAATGTGTTTTATTAACTTCAAGAGGCCAGTCAATTGCACATCAGTGAAAATCCGTGGCAAGCTGTGCTTGATCCAGTTTTACATTTAAGTTTAGAAATCCTCCTGGTTGAACTGGAATTGAGGAACCCTTGAATATGGCACAGAGAAATTTGGGAGGAATCAACAAGAACAAAACAGGGGAGAAGAGGAAGCCATTTTGGTGCCAGCTTCGGAGGTTAGGAGCTTGGGAGTGCTCCTGGACCTCACCTTAATGATGAAGGCCCAGGTGGCAGCCACTGCCAGATTGGCCTTCTATCATCTTCGGCTGGTGAGGCAGCCTTGACCGCAAACGACCTAGCTACAGTGATCCATGCGACAGTCACCTCGAGGCTAGACTACTGTAACGCTCTCTACATGGGGCTGCCTCTGTTGCAAATCCGGAAGCTGCAGCTGGTGCAGAATGCTGCGGTCAGGTTGTTGGTGGGCGCCCCTAGGTGGGAGCACACTTGACCTACGCTGAAACCGCTGCACTGGCTTCCTATAGCATACTGGATCCACTTCAAAGTGCTGGTGCTCACCTTTAAAGCCCTACATGGCCTGGGTCCGACATACCTGAGGGACTGCATTTCCCCACATATTCCCCAAAGAGCACTTCGGTAGGGGTCACAACACCGGCTGGTGACCCCGGGCCCTAAGGAGGCCAGGCTTGCAGCAACGAGGGCCAGGTCCTTTTCAGTGGCGGCTCCTATCTGGTGGAACGAGCTCCTGGAGGAGATCAGGGCCCTGCGGGACATTTTGCAGTTCCGCAGGGCCTGTAAGACGGAGCTCTTCCGCCAGGCATATGAGTAGGAGCTGCCCCTGCTATTACCACCACTGCTCCTCCATAGAGTGATACTGACGGAGGACCGTGCAACACCCAATCATGGCCCTAGTCTTCCCCTCTGCTACGCAAAATGTGGGGAATTTTCTCTTTTCTTGCATCCTGATGGAATTGAATTTTTAGCTGCATTTATACATTTTATATTGTATATTATATATATGCACTTTGTGCTCATGTAAGCCGCCCTGAGCCCCTTCAAGTGAAGGGCGGGGGGTATAAATGCAATGAAAATAAATTTAAATTTTTTTTCTCCAGGTCAGTTTGGCCAGGGATACTGGAGGGGGTGATTTTTGCCATCTTCTGGGCACAGAGCATGGGTCATTGGAGGGGGGGGAGGTATTCGTGAATTTCCTGCATTGTGCAAGGGATTGGACTAGATGACCCTGGAGATCCCTTTCAACTCTACGATTCTATGAGATCTGCTCATTTGCGAATTATTGTTAGGTTAAACTGGGGGCAAGGGGGAAATGATAATTTAATAATTTATTTGGATTAATAAACATCTAACCACTGCACTGAATTCAAAAGCCACCCCCCTTTTTCCTAGAATGTAATACTTACTTTTTCTTGAATTCGAGGAATGTAAGATGTGTATATTGGGAACACAGTTCATTTCCTTTGGAGAGCAAATCGATTATTTGTTGCCTCGCTTGTGGTCTCTGGAGTTCAGACACAAAAGCGTAACGCTGCATTAATGACCAACGCGTTAAGCAAAATCAACCATTCAATTAAAAGAAAATAAAAATCATACTGCATAATTTTTTTTCCTGATAGGAGCCATTCAATTCTGTGGGAGGACGGAAAAGGGTAGTCCCCAGGGACCTTGTTCAGACAAGGACCCAAGCCATCCAGGGACCTTTCCTCCAACATTATGGCCGCTAGTGAGTGGGGCTATGGTCTGGTGAACTCAGACCAGGTATAGTGGTTAAAGTGTCAGACTATGATTTAGGAAATCTGGGTTCGAATCCCTATTGGCGCCATGGAAGCTTGCACATTCTCTAACCTCCCTTAGAGGCAGGCCTGTAGCTACAGTGGTGCAGTCTGGGGCTCTGCCCCCTCAAATGTGAGACAAGCCCCGCAACACCTGCTACCCCTTGCCCCCTCCCTCCCCTCCTGTGACATTAAGAGGGCCCTCCAGCTGATCGGTGGGAGCATGTGGCCGCCGATCAGCTGGGCCCTTTAAATTTTACAGATTTAAAGGGTCCTCCAGCTGATCAGCGGGCCCTTTAAATCTTGCTGGAGGGGAGGGAGAGGGGCAGCTGCCGGCCGCACACCTTCCCTGAACTCCAAAAGCAATTTTGGGAATCTTTTAAATGCTGTTTTTCTAGCAGGGGCTGCCCGCGCCTGAACTCCAAGTGGCAAAATCGCTGCTTGGAGTCAGGGACGGTGTGTGGCGACCCCTCTTCCTCTCTCCCCCCTCCCTCCTCCCCCTCCCCTGTTGCCCCACAAAATGTCCCTATGTCCCACCAACCCCAAATTTCTGGCTACAGGGCTGCTCAGAGCGTTCTGGTGAGGACAAAAAGGAGAAGAGGAGAATGGTATAAAGTGCGTTGGATCCCCTTTGTGTTGAAAGGTGGGATATAAATAAAGTAAACAGACAAGTCTGTGGTAAAGATATGTCCAATGAAGGCATAGGGCAGCCGGGTGGGGGAAGAGGACGCTGGGAGCACATTTTTGTGTATTACCTTTAGACCAAAACAAGCTTTGGGGTCGGCGTCACTGCAACAGCTAGCCACAACTTCTCTAGACGACTCGTGGATGACTGAGAAAAGCGCCTCCGGGGCATAGGTGAACCTCCGAGCAATCTCAAATAAATAGCTGTAGGCAAAAAAAAAAAAAAAACCCCAAGAAAATAGCCAATATTTCCGCCTTTGTATCAGCCAAAGGTATTTTGCAGTCTGTCTCTCTTGTTGAGAGTCAGGGGAGAGAATTGAAATGGAGACATCGGCTCTTTGTTTGGATGCAAATTGCCTGACCCCCGTGCCCTGAGAGCTGGGGTGATCAACTGCTCGCCCAGTATGGCAGACAGCCCCCATAGCCGGAGACAGTCCTCAGTGGTAGCCATGCTACCGCATTCTGGACCAATGGAAATACTAGAACATTTTCAAAGGTGGCTAGGCCAGTTTGGTGTAGTGGTTAAGTGTGCGGACTCTAATCTGGGAGAACCAGGTTTGATTCCCCACTCCTCCACTTGCACCTGCTGATGTGACCTTGGGTCAGTCACAAGCTCTGGCACAGCTGTTCCTAAAAGAGCAGTTCTCTCAGCCCTACCCACCTCACAGAGTTCTCTCAGCCCCACCCACCTCACAGGGTGTCTGTTGTGGGGAGGGGAAGGGAAAGGAGTTTGTAAACCGCTCCAAGTGAAGGGCGGGGTATAAATCCAATCTCTTCTTCTTCTTCTTCTTTGATCAGAGCAGAGATCACTATGGCCAGACCAGTAGTCTGCTGACCTCTAATGCTGGCCGTGGGAAAACTTCTCTTTCTGATTTTCATGGAAAAGGAAATCACAACAAATACTTTTACTGACAGCCCTTCCATGGGAAAACCATGTGGTTCTGGATATCCGGGGGGTGGCTATATACCACACTATATACCACACTATGGTCCCAGTCACACGAGCGGGATGATCCGCTGCCGAAGGGAGGCAAATTAGAGCTGGTGCAAAAAGAACCACGGGAGCACGATCCAACGTGCCCCCGTGGCTCTGTGCTCCCTGCTCTGGCAGCTGATCACATGTTGTGCAGCAAACCGGCAATAACACAGTTGTGCGTATGCGTGGGACGGGGAACGGTGCTGGCTGCAACGGGCTACCAGCACTTCCCCGACCAGATGCCTTCCGTTGCCGCACATAATCCGGAAGGTAGTGCTCTGTTGCTACTACCTTTTTGATGGGCATTTGTGGGCCGAAGGGACGGCTCGGGGACGGGTGTGCGCTGGTTTCCAGATGTTGCGGTGTGTTTGCGCCTGCTTGATGCACCCCCAATCTGTCCCTCTTGTGGGGCAAATCCTCCCGTGTGACCGGGGCCTATATACCACACTATATACCAGCACTATACCACACTGGCTTTCTGTCAGCTATGCTGCCATATAGTTTATTGGCCTAGGGTTCGCCTGCCTGACCTGTGTACAAGTTGCTGCCACATTCCTTTCCTCTCGCTTCTCCCCTTGTTATCTCTGACCTTGTATTCGTGCCTGTGTAGTGTCTCCACTTTAATTAACCGTAAGACTGGTTTCGTTTCTCAGCCTCGGTTCAGTTGGGTCATCAGTTACTTTTTCCCGCCCGTGGGAGAAGGGGCGATCGGCCCACAGGTGTGGGGGGGACCTCTTGAATTCCCTATATCATTGTATGCCTGTTCTTGGGGTGGCTGAAGTGGAACAGTAGTAAGCAGCCAGGCCTGGATGAGACATGGTATCAGGTTGCCCAGTGGCAGCTGTTGGACCTGGCTTCAGTGAGTCAAGGGTCAAAACAGTCCTGGAAAGAACCCTGCCCTCTTTCACTGACAGAAACCAAGGCTTGAAGGCTAGCAATACTGTTGTGGTTGCCTAGGAATGGCCACTGAAGGCATTCACTTCTTAAAACTACAGACACTGCTTCTATCATTTTGAGGTTTTTAACCCTCCAGTGCATTTTTTTAGATTTCAGATTTTTCTGCAAACTTGGGGCTTTTCTCAGGTCTGCAGAAAGGTAGGTTTTGTCTGTTCATGGCCCCAGTTTTTGAATTTAAGTATTTGTTGATGAGGCTATGTTGAGAATTAGATATATTGATATTAGTAGTTTTGAAAATGAAACCAGAGGGTGTTAATACTGATTAACAAACATAGGGTACAAGAGTGAACTGAGGTCTTGGGAGGAGAAGGAGGAGGAGAAGAAGAAGACAAAGAAGAAGAAGACAAAGAAGAAGAAGACAAAGAAGAAGAAGAAGAAGACAAAGAAGAAGAAGAAGAGGAGGAGTAGGAGGAGATTGGATTTGAACCCTGTCCTTCACTACCTGAAGGAGGAGGAGATTGGATTCAAATTCAAAACCTTTATTGGCATAGATCATAAGCATACACAGTCGCCATTCAGATAGTGGATTAAAGGAGATTGGATTCATACCTCGCCCTTCACTCAGAGTCTCAGAGTGGCTTATGAAAAAAAATCCCTTCCCCTCCCCACAACACCCTGTGAGGTAGGTGGGGCTGAGAGAGCTCTTTCAAGAACTGCCCTTTCAAGAACAGCTCCAGTCAGAACTATGGCTTGCCCAAGGTCATCCAGCAGCTGGAAGTGGAGGTGTGGGGAATCAAACCCGGTTCTCCCAAATTAGAGTGTGCACGTAAACCACTACACCAAACGGGGGAGGGAGGAAAATTCTGAATCTACTTACCGTACTAATTCTTGACGTTCCTTTTCTGTGCAAAGGTCTTCGTCCGCTGGTTTTTGAAAATCTGGAAGGTGGGGAGTTTTGGCCCATGGGAGCGAATAGATGCAGAAATAGGCCTTCATTTTGTTCGCATTTGTACAGCAGTCAGCAAACCTTTGATCTTTGGTGGAGAGCCGACTGCAGATTTTGGCGGTATGCTCCACGAACTGGAAAGGAGGCAGCCAATAATTTCGTCATGCCATAGAACCAAACATTTTTGTTTACGTCAAACAGGATCTGCATTGTTTAGCGGTAAGTTAGAGACCCAGTGTGGTATAGTGACTAAGAGTGGTGATCTAGTCTCTGGGAAACCCAGGTTTAACAATAAAACTTTATTCAAATACATTAGGAGGAGGAGGAGATTGGATTTATACCCCGCCCTTCACTACCCAAAGGTGTCTCAGAGCGGTTTACAAACTCCTTTCCCTTCCCCTCCCCACAACAGACACCCTGTGAGGTAGGCAGGGCTGAGAGAACTCTGACAGAAACTGCTCTTTCAGGAACAGCTGTGCCAGAGCTTGTGACTGACCCAAGGTCTCACCAGCAGCTGCAAGTGGAGGAGTGGGGGAATCAAACCCGGTTCTCCCAGATTAGAGTCTGCACACTTAACCACTACACCAAACTGGCAGGAAGCAGGAAACCAGCCAGGGAGGCAGTGGGGCCCTTGGATGACCAAGGGGTAAAAGGAGTACTGAGGGATGATAGGGAAATGGCTGAGAAGCTGAATGCAAATGGAGCAGCCATTTTCTCCAGCAGGAGAACTGATCTTAGAGATCTCCAGGTGCCACCTGAAGGTTGGCAATACTAAAGGAAGGGCCAGGTTTGTTGAAGGGCTTCAGTGAGATATAATCAGGGCTATTTTTGGGCAGGAACGCACAGGAACGGAGTTCCGGCTGGCTCCCGAGTTGGCCACGCCCAGCAGGAACTCATTAGCATAATAGGCCACACCCAACAGCAGAAACTCATTAGGATTGGCTACATTAGGGGTGTGTGGCCTAACATGCAAAGGAGTTCTTGCTACAAAAAAAGGCCCTGGGTTTTGACCACAGACAAGGTCAACAGAATAAGAAGCAAAAGGTGGGTGTGGCTGGATGACCACACTTCTGGTAACATGGGGGTGCGGCCTAATGTGCTAATGAGCTGTGCTGTCAGGGGTGTGGCCCAATATGCTAATGAGTTCCTGCTGTTGGGTGTGGCCTATGATGCTAATGAGTTCCTGCTGGGCTTTTTCTTCAAAAAGAGCCCTGGTATAATGCCATATTGCTCACCCTCCAAAACAAGCATTTTCTTAATGGGGACTGATCTCTGTAGTCTGGAGATGAATTGTAATTTAGAGAGATGCCCAGGCCTTCCCTTTCCTCGCAACCCCTTTCAATTCCAAAGCTGCTTCCCGTTTAACACTTTAACGGATTAACAGTTTAACTGAATCCCTGCTAATGCCTCACAGAGCCTCTTGGGACTCCCAACTTGGGAGTTGTAGTTCTAATTCCCTTTGCTATGGTTGTAGTAAGGCCAGCTGAGAACTACAACTCCCAAGGTGCAGCACATCAAAAGTGGGGTCGTTAGAATGGAGGAGCAGGTGGGACAGGCCAATAGGACACCAAGGCAGCTTCCCCAGTGGCCAATGGGAGAGTGGGTCAGTCATCACCAGCACGGCTTGCCTTTTATATATATATATATAAGACTAGAAATAATGCCCATTGCAGAAATAAATACAACGGGATCTAGAAAGAGGCTCTGGGAGAGTGCTCTGGCTTTGGGCAAACAGTGTCAGTTTCCTGTGGCGACCTCAGCAGGGTTTAATGACAGAGTCCACTGTTTTCTCCAGAGGGACTGATCTCTGCTACCTGAAGAGCATTTGTATGTTTGAGTTATCTGTAGCCCTCACCTGGAGAGTGGTAACCATTGTTACCCATTCTCCTCTCCCCTATGAGGTATGTTATGCAACTGAAAATCCCAACTGCCTTGCGGGGGGGGGGAGTTTGAGGTGTGGAATGGACTGAAGTCCAATCAGCTTCCATATGCAAAAGACCAGGTTGTCGCAGCAGTTGTGGTGTGGGCGGGACCTGGGCTTTGCCTTCTGATTGGTGGCAATATATGCTGAGGAGCAGTGCCATCAGCCATACACTAAGGGAGTGCATTTTAGACTTAGAACTTTGGCACCCACTATTCAATTATATATAAGGAGAGATACCCTTCCACCAAGTGAATAACTTGCCAGAGATCTGAACGACAGCTCCTAGTGACTTGCAGAGGCATCTTTGGCTCCGCAACACCCACCTCTTTCTGGACGGTGTCACTGTCTGTGGAGTTACAGGCCCTGGAAAGTACTTCCGAAGCATCTGTGGCTAGGGCTACGACATCCTCCAATGAAGCGTTGGTACTTTTCTGGGCAAACTTTATGAGATAGCTAGATGTGGGCCAAGACAATGAGACTTGAGATTAGTTTTGCCACTCCAGAAACCATCTGATTGCCACGCCTAAGCCTTTCTAATAGACCCTGGTCGGACGTACGCTGTAGATTTAGATGCACTAATGCATCTAGGGGATCATCTGCACATTCTTGTATTTGTCTCATGACCTCTGTAGTGTCTGTTCCCAGGAGACAGAACTTATGGACATACGTATGGTCTGTAGATGAACCGATACCAAAAAGACCACTTAGGTTAACACAAAGTCCTGAAACTGAGTAATTGAGTCCCCATATATATACTGCCTTAAAGCCGGGCTCTTTTTGTAGCAGGAACTCTTTTGCATATTAGGCGACACACCCCTAATGTAGCCAATCCTCCAAACCCTTACAGTAGCCCCTGTAAAAAGAGCTCTGTAAGCTCTTGGAGGATTGGCTACATTAGGATTGGCTACATTAGGATTGGCTACATTAGGATTGGCTACATTAGGGGTGTGTCGCCTAATATGCAAAGGAGTTCCTGCTACAAAAAGAGCCCTGCCAGTCCCCTGAGTAACTTTTCATGCCAACTACCTAAAGCTTCGTAACTGTTCATGGAGACACCAATAAAGACACCAATGAGACCTTAGGAAATTAACCAGCACTGAAAAAAATAAACAAGTCCAAGGTAGAGGGCTTCTTGTTAAAGTTCTAATCCCTTAGTGTAGGCCAGACACACCCCTAATGTAGCCAATCCTCCAATAGCTTACAGAGCTCTTCTTACAGGGGCTACTGTAAGCTCTTGGAGGATTGGCTACATTAGGGGGGGTGTCACCTAATATGCAAAGGAGGTCCTGCTACAAAAAGAGCCCTGGTAGGCCCATAGCCACAGTGGGGCACCTCGGGGCCAGGCCCCCTGACTTACTGCCCAGGCCCCCTGACGTCCTTTATTTTATTTTCCACATGCGCCACAGCCTTGCTGCGCTGAGCCATCGCCCTGCCCGCCGTCACCCTTGCCTATCGCCTCTCTCTTTCTCTCTCGTCGCTTTTAAAAGCCTTGACTCTCTCATTGCTCCTGACACAAATGTTCCCTCTAAGCTGAGTTAGTGTGAGCCAGCTCACAGTTTTTTAGCCTCTGGCTCACACATTTTTGTCTTTGCTCGGGAAGGAGGTGGCTCCAGAGCAGACTGATTCATGCAGCATCCAAATTGCTCGCTCACAACTTTAATGCCAGCCGCTCACAAAGTAGAATTTTTGCTCACAAGACTCCGCAGCTTAGAGGGAGCATTGCCTGATACAGCCCGGGTGTGTGTGCGGGGGTGCCCCCAACTTATTTAAATGCCCCCCGGAGTAAAAAATCCCAGCTACGGCCCTGCCTTAGGGAGGAGGGGGCGTCTGAGAGAGGAAGTATGAGTGTTGTTATGATACACGGACTTGGGCTGACTCTGGACGTCATTGGAGCAAAGCAATATCGATTTTCTCATCACTTGTTGTAGATTTTCCAGGCTGAATGGCCGTGGTCTTGGTATTGGCACTACAATAAACAACAAAACAATGCAGCACACAATACAAAATGGCAAGTAACAGCAAAACAACTGTGTGCTGAAATACCCGCAAGAGTACATATACAAAAAGAGACTTCAGCAAAGTGAACCACATATGTAATCAGCAATAAATCTGTACATAAAACCCATCATAGGAAATATAGAAGTCTACAGAATGCATCAAGTCCAAAGTAGATATCCAACACTTTTCCTAGGTAGTATACAGTGTTTCAGACTTCTGTTCCTTCCTCAGGAACAAAGAGCCACAATAGAAAGTCTCATTCCAATTTCTTTAGGCTGAATACTCTGAGGAATTTTTGGTCCTGTTCTACATAGTAGCAACCTTGAGAGGTGCCCTTTCAAGCTTAGGAGACCTGGCCCATAAAGAAACTGAACAATATTGTCTTATAAAGAACATAAGAACATAAGAGACGCCAATGTTGGATCAGGCCAAAGGCCCATCCAGTCCAACACTCTGTGTCACACAGTGGCCAGAAATACCAGGTGCCATCAGGAGGTCCACCAGTGGGGCCAGGACATTAGAAGCCCTCCCACTGTGGCCCCCAAACACCAAGAAGACAGAGCATCACTTGCCCCAGAGCCCCTATCTATACCTTGTGGCTAATAGCCACTGATGGACCTCTGCTCCATATGCTTATCTAATTCCCTTTTGAAGCCGTCCATGCTTGTAGCCGCCACCACTTCCTGTGGCAGTGAATTCCCTGTGTTAATCACTCTTTGGGTGAAGAAGTACTTCCTTTTATCCGTTCTAACCCGACCGCTCAGCAATTTCATGGAGTGCCCACGAGTTCTTGTATTGTGAGAAAGGGAGAAAAGTACCTCTTTCTCTACCTGCTCTATCCCATGCATAATCTTATAAACCTCAATCATGTCACCCCTCAGTCATCGTTTCTCCAAGCTAAAGAGCCCTAAGCTCTTTAACCTTTCCTCATAGGAAAAGTGTTCCAACCCTTTTCTGCAATTTTCCAAAGCTATAATATCCTTTTTAAGGTGTGGTGACCAGAACTGCACACAGTATTCCAAATGAGGTCGCACCATTGATTTATATAGGGGTATTATGATATTGGCTGATCTGTTTTCAATACCCTTCCTAATGATCCCCAGCATAGCATTGGCCTTCTTTATTGCAGTCACACACTGTCTCGAAATTGGAATGAGACTTTCTATTGTGGCTCTTTGTTTCTGAGGAAGGACCAGAAGTCTGAAACACTGTGTACTACCTAGGAAAAGTGTTGGATATCTACTTTGGACTTGATGCATTCTGTAGACTTCTGTATTTCCTATGATGGATTTTATGTACAGGTTTATTGCTGATTACATATGTGGTTCACTTTGCTGAAGTCTCTTTTTGTATATTTACTCTTGCGGGTATTTCAGTACACAGTTGTTTTGCTGTTACTTGCAATTGGTCCTACAATGCTAAGACCACGGCCATACAGCCGGGAAACTCTACAACAACTAATGAACTCCGGCCGTGAAAGCCTTCGACACCCCATTTTCTGCTCCCTGCTGCTTTGACTCAGAAATCCCAGTTTTGATTTTGCTTCTCCCTTGTGCGCATTGAATCTATGACACTTAACTTTTTTTGCCTCTGAACTCTTCAATTATGGCATGTGCATTTTCCAATATCAGTTTGGTCAACAACTAAGCATGGCACTGTTATGTCTGCTGACCGCCACTAAATGGCAGCGTACTTCACAGGATCTTGGATCCTTAGGAACAATAGGGACTAGGACCCTGAAACCTCTAGCGGTCACCAATAGGAACTTTGGCAGGAAGTTTAAACCCACCAATGGAACCTGTGGGTGGTCCACAGAGACTGTATATAGTTGGCCCTCTGGCCGTTAATGTTATGTTATGTTGTGTGCTAGTAAACATGAGCTGAATGTTTCCTCATCATTCGATGCGTCCAACCCACTACACAACAGAAACACTGTAGTATACATAGACAGAAAGACGATGTATTGTCTACTCAGACTGGCTTTGGCTTTCCAGGGATAGACCACGATGGGTAGCTGTGTTAGTCTGTCTGAGCAGCAGAAAAGAGCAAGAGTCCAGGAGCACCTTCAAGACTAACAAAAATTTGCGGCACGGTATGAGCTTTTGTGAGTCACTGCTGAAGAAATGTGCAGTGACTTATGAAAGCTCATAGCCTGCCAGGTATCGGTCTTTCACATCATCTACTGCCAGATCCTTTAACCTGAGATGTTCACAAGCTGGAGTGTGTCCAGAGGAGGGCAACAACGATGGTGCGAGGTCTGGAGACCAAGTCTTATGAGGAAAAGCTGAAGGAGCTGGGTATGGAGGGGAGATGACTGAGAGGTGACATGATAACCATCTTCAAGTACTTGAAGGGCTGTCATTTAGAGGATGGTGTGGAGTTGTTTCCTGTTGTCCCAGAAGGTCAGATGGGTTGAAATTAAATCAAAAGAGTTTTTGGCTAAACATTAGGAAGAAGTTCCTGACCAAGTGGCTCCTCAGAGTGTGTCCAGAGGAGGGCAACAACGATGGTGCGAGGTCTGGAGACCAAGTCTTATGAGGAAAAGCTGAAGGAGCTGGGTATGGAGGGGAGATGACTGAGAGGTGACATGATAACCATCTTCAAGTACTTGAAGGGCTGTCATTTAGAGGATGGTGTGGAGTTGTTTCCTGTTGTCCCAGAAGGTCAGATGGGTTGAAATTAAATCAAAAGAGTTTTTGGCTAAACATTAGGAAGAAGTTCCTGACCAAGTGGCTCCTCGGTGGAGCAGGCTTCCTCAGGATGTGGTGGGCTCTCTTCCTTCAGAGGCTTTTAAAGCAAAGGCTGGATTGCCCCCTGACAGCAATGCTGGTTCTGTGAACTTAGGTAGATCACAAGGAGGGAGGGCAGGAAGGGTTGCATCAGTGCTTAGTTCTCGTAGCCCTTTCTTACATGCCCGGGGAAATGGTGATCGCCACTTTGGGGTTAGGCAGCAATTTCTCTCCAGGCCAGTTTGCCCGGGGATCCTGGAGGTTTTTTGCCATCTTCTGGGCATGGAAGAGGGGTCACTGGAGGTTGGAGGGGGAGGTCTTTGTGAATTTCCTGCCTTGTGCAGGGGGTTGGACTAGATGACCCTGGAGGTACCTTCCAACTCTATGATTCTATGTGGGGGATTGAACCTGGGTCCATCTACATACCAAGAGGCCATTCCACCATGAAGCCACGGCCCTGACATATCTGCCTAGGTTTTCAGGGAGAACAGGAAGCACTCATGAGTTCCACATTGAACATCTCCAGTCCTGACCTGCCACGAATGTAGAAGGTATCTACCAACCTGAGCTTGGTTTTTTCTTTCCCCAGCAAATCATAGTGGGCGCATGCTTTGTTGGACACACGAGTGAGCATCGCAAGGGACCTCCGGTTCAACTTCTGCAAGGTGAAAAGGATAACGATTCATTAGACCAGGGGGTTTTCAACCTTTTCGAGCTTGTGTCAGCAAGCTGCAAGTGTTTTTCTGCTTTCACTTTCATGTACATTCCTCTCCTTGCACTTAATTGCTTTGCGACAGCAACACGTATCTTTCAAGGCCGCTGGAGGAGAGCTGCTGGAGAAGTTGCTTGGCTTATCCCTCGGACAAGTCGTGGGAAGTTTTACCTGTTATGCTTATTAGTACCGTTAGTTCTCAGGCCTAATGCCGTGCATGGGAACTCCCGCAATTGGGTCTTGCTGATTTGAATGTCCTATATCCTGCCATGCTCTTTGATTACACGTCATTCCTAACAGTGTTCCTGTCAATGCACCTTTAGCATCAATAAAAGTAAAACCTTTCTGTAAGCGTGTACTTCGTTGTTGCTGTGGGGACCTGACAGCTTGTGGGCACTTATAAAACTCTGGGACAGGGTATTGGGTGCAGCCATAAAATAGGTGTCATAAAATGGCTGCTGCGGGAGATGGAGCCAGTCACAAAATGGCGGCCACTGCTTACCTTCATGAAGCAAAGTGAAGAAGGAACTGTCATGTGCCGGCTACTTCTCAGTCCTATCAGTCCATCACAGTTTCTGGTTCACTTTTCTTCATGTTATATTGACTGTGATCCCTTTAGATTGTCACTGCTGACCTTCAGTCACACAGTGAAGATCTTTGTGATTCGCCGGCAGTTGCTGCCAAAGCAACGTTTTAAAGAAGATCTGCACAGCCGAACGTATCTCCAAATAGCCAGTCAGAAACCTTGCTGGCTGAGAACCCCGCTCGGCCTCACCCACTTTCTAAAAACACTTGGTTGGCACCAGGAAAGGAGTTGCTGGGGACACCATGGGCACAAAGTTGGGGGACGCTTGCATTAGACAGAGACGAACCACTTGACAAAGGCAGTGGCTCGAAGCAAATCTGGAAGTGCACGTGAACTTCCAACAAGCTGCAAAAAGGTAGCAAAGCTCACAGAACCCTGCCTTGGAATGGAGAGAGCTCGGTTTTCCAATTACAATATTCGGTTCCATTTGGTCTTGCCGACGAAGATTCGGTCCTGGACCTGGACATCCAGAGTGGTGCGGTTATGGAAGGGTGGGAAGTTCATCCTTAGAACAACATACGTAAAATGGGAAGAAATTGCTCTCAACTTCCCAGAGGAAGCCGATGTAGATGTGGCATCTATTCCATGCATTGGTCTTAGGGACTGTTCATGGACAGGTGGATGGATCTGTTCTGCTAACAGTGGAACCTTCCCTGGCACGAGGTACTTTCCCCTGTCATGAGAAGCTGTTTTCCTGGGCCTTGTCCTAATGAAAGGATGCTTTGTGATGACACTATGGAGAGCCATCTTAAGTAATTCTCTCGGAGAATTGGCATAGAATCACTAGGTACAGAGAGGGACAAAACCTGCTGAGGGAAAACCAGCATGGCTTCTGCAAAGGGAAGTCCTCCCTCACCAGCCTTTTTGGAGTTCCTTGGGAAAATGAACAAGCATGTAAATGGTGACGCAGTTGACATTACACACCTGGACTTTCAAAAGGCTTTTGACAAGATATCTCACCAAAGACCCCTGAGTAAACTTAGCAGTCATGGGATAGGCAGATGGGTTCTCTTATGGATTCAAAACCGGTTAAATGACAGGAAGCAACGAGTAGGAATAAATGGGCAATTCTCATAAGCGGTGGAGTTCCACAAGGATCTGTATCGGAGTCAGTACAATTTATTTATTTATTTATTTATTTATTTATTTATTTATTTATTATTTACATTTTTATCCCGCCCTCCCCGGAGGCTCAGGGCGGCTTACACGGCATATCGCCAAATTCATACAATAGAACAATAAAAACATTAAAAATATTAAAACACATCACAGTCATAAACAAATTTTTGGTGCTCCTCTTCTAAAAAAACAAGATGGCCGTCTCCTAAAATGTCCCATTCTCACCCAAGGTGCCTGCATCATGATGACCCTGTACAGAAATCATGGGGCGTTGGTGGTACAATGGCGATGGCGGCTCCTATTCGAACGCCTGGCGGAAGAGCTCCATCTTGCAGGCTCTGCGGAACTGTGCTAGGTCCCGCAGAGCCCTGATCTCCTCTGGGAGCTCATTCCACCAGATAGGAGCCGCCACCGAAAACGCCCTGGCCCTGGTCATGACGAGTTTAATTTATTCATCAATGATCCGGAACTAGGAGTGAGTAGGGTAGTGGCCAAGCTTGCCGATGACACAAGATTATTCAGGATGGTGAACACCAAGGTTGACTGTGAAGAGCTCCAAGAGGATCTCCACAAACTGGGTGACAATGTGGGCAACAATGTTGTTAAGTGTAAGGTGATGTACACGGGGGAAACAAATCCCAACTTCAAGTACAGGCTAATGGGGTGTGAACTTGCTGAGACTGAGAGGGGAAAAGATCTTGGGGTCGTACTGGATAACTCCATGAAATACTATGTCCACTTCTGGTCACCGTATCTCCAAAAGGACATTGCAGAGCTGGGAAAAAGTGCAGAGGAGGGCAACCAAGATGATTGGGGGCTGGAGCCCCTTCCCTAGGAGGAAAGGCCGGAGCGTCCGGGACTTTTCAGTTCTGAAGAGAGACCACTAAAGGGGGGGGGCATGATAGAAGTTTACAAAATTATGCATAGAGTAGAGAGAGTTGATAAATACTCCCAAAATACTAGTACTGGAGGGCATCCAATGAAGCTGACGGGCAGTAGTTTCAGGACAGAAAAAAATGAAATACTACTTTACTCAGAGAGTGAGATCAAATGTGGAATTCACTGCCAGAGGATGGAGGGATGGCCACAGGGATGAACAACTTTAAAAGGCGATTAGATAGATTCATGGAAGATAAGTCTATCAATGGCTACTAGCCATGGTGACTGAGGAGAACCTCCACGTTCAAAGGCAGTCAATCTCTGAATCCCAGAGCCAGGAGGCAACATCAGGGGAAGGCCTCAGCATCTATGCCATGTTGTTGGCCCTCCAGGGGACCTGGTTGTCCACTGTGTGAGACAGGATGCTGGACTGGATGGACCCTCACTGGTCTGATACAGCAGGGCTCTTCTGAGGTTCTCCTCAGGGGAAGGCCTCGGCCTCTCTGCCCTGCTGTTGGCCCTCCAGAGGAACTGGCTGGCCCCTGTGTGAGACGGGATGCTGGACTAGATGGTCCCCTGGCCTGATCCAGCAGGGCTTCTCTTACGTTCTTTTGCTCTGAAACTCTCTAAGGGAACACATGAGTGAGAGATTCAAGACCTCCCCCCCCACCTTCCTGCTGCAATTGCTGGTCTACTTTCTACTGCCCCCTAGAGGTAGTCTGGCAAAATTGCAGGAAGATTTGGCCTCCCCGGTGGCTTCAGCACTGTCATTGCCTCGACCCATGTGGTTGTGTCTGCGTGACCCCCATGTGCGGCTAGCCATGCCACAGAGTGGGACAAGCTGTTCAAAGACAGTGGCTGGGGGGAAAAAAAGACAGCGGCTGACGTGACGGATGCTAAGCCTCTATTCACTGCCGCTGCTGGGATCTGGCAGTCCTTATAGTCTGCTAGACTTATAGTTGGGGAGGGGGGGGGAGAAGAGGTTGTCAAGGAAGCACGGCACATTTTAAATGCAAAAGAGAAATGCTCAGACCTCTTTTAAGAAGCACGGCGTGGGCGTGGCAGAGGCACAACATGTTGCAACCATGGACAGGTAGCTCGTTGTGGAGGCAGCCAGCACGGGCAATGGGGCACTGCTGTAGTCCGCGGAATACTCATAGAGATATCTAGAAAAGAGACCACAAAAGAAAGGTTAAGGGAGTGCTATATAACAAATGATATGGACCTGCGGTGGCTCAAGTGGTTAAGACGCTGAACTGCAGGCTGTGGAAGGTCAGTAGTTCAGCAGTTTGAGACCCGGGTGTGCCGCATGACGGAGTGAGCTCCCGTCTCTAGTTCCAGCTCCTGCCAACCTAGCAGTTCGAAAGCAAGAAATTGCAAGTAGATAAATAGGTACCACTTCGGTGGGAAGGTAACAGCGTTCCGTGCTCCTTGGTGTTTAGTTATGTCGGCCACATGACCACGGAAACGTCTTCGGACAGCGCTGGCTCTTTGGCTTTGAAACGGAGATGAGCAACCCTAGAGTCGGACTCGACTGGCTTTCGAGCAAGGGAACCTTTACCTTTATATAACAAATGAGGCCAGCCGGCTTAGTAAAGATCTGAGGCGGCTCCATTCTTACTGAGTAAAATGTAAAAAAAAAATCATACAGCTTGGAAGCACAGGAGCTTCACGCAGTATCCTTGATCCTCCACATTTCCTGGTTAAGGGCGGAAAATGCTGTTCAAACAAATGACAAAGATGACCTGACTCCAATGGTCACCAGAGAAAGAAATTTTACTTACAAAAATAGAAGCACAACTTAGATGACATATCCGTGTAGGTGTATTTAACTTATCGTGAACAGATTAACTTTCAGAAAGAGGTTAACTTGCTACAGCTCCGAGCCCAGGTAAGAGAGAGAAGAGAAGAGAGAAGAGAAGAGATCGGATTTATACCCTGCCCTTCACTCGTAGTCTCAGAGCGGCTTACAATCTCCTTCCCATTCCCACAACAGACACCCTGTGAGGTAGGCGAGGCTGAGAGAGCCCTGAGAGAACTGTTGAGAGAACAGCTCTGACAGGACTATGGCTTTCCCAAGGTCATCCAGCAGCTGCTTGTGGAGGAGTGGGGAATCAAACCCAGTTCTCCCAGATCAGAGTCTGCGGACTTAACCACTACACCAAACTGGTGTAGGTCCTATATAAGAGGTTCTATATAAGATGAAACAGAAGGCAGGCAACAGACGAAGAGGCTCAAAATCCTACCAATGAGAGGGTGGGGCCAACTGCCAAGTATACCGAATTAACCCTTTCCCTCCCGATTCCTCTTGCATGCAGAGTTACAATATCCAAAAATTCTAGCCAAGCATAGTGCATGGGACATCATTTGTACACAAGAGTTATAACAGGGGTTAGGGTTGCTCTCTAGATCTGCTAACAAGGACAAACTCTGCACACACATTCAAAACAACCATTACAACACCTATCAAAACTAATATACCTAGGGGAACATTTTATCACTTACTAACTAAACGTAGGACTGAACTGGGTAATGAAGAATAACCTACCTGTATGTTACTTGTATATGTATTTTTATTGTGAGAATAATAAAAATTAAAACAAAAACAAAAACGAGTTGCCGACCTCCAGGTCGTATGTAATACGAAAAAGCAAAATATCAAACCGTGCATAAATAACGAAAAATATATATTCAACAGTCAATGAGTATGATACTCTAAACCTATACGAATAGAGTAGTTTTTCAAAAATAAAATATAATAGAAACTCAAAAGTACACGGTCCAAATACAAAAATAGTCCTATTAATCCACCTTCAGAAATAGTCCCAGTCAAATTCCTCAAACAGTGAAAAGTCCAAATATAGATGTTCATAATTCCTCTTCAAAAAAACTCGCCTTGCTGCTTGTGCATCTGCTTCAAGTGGTCTTACGTACATAAAGAATGAAAAAGATGCTGTGAATTATTCAGTACTGGAGCTGGACGATTTTGGTGCTCCACTTTTAAGGAAGCACGGCGATAACGGCAACTCGAAGCCGGCGGGGCCGTGAAGTGGATACACGAGTGGCGAGACGAGTTTTTCAAAGAGGAATGATAAACGTCTATACTTGGACTTTTCACTGTTCGAGGAATTTGACTGGGACTATTTCTGAAGGTGGATTAATAGGACCGTGTATTTTTGAGTTTCTATTATATTGTATTTTTTTTAAAAAAACCCACTCTATATAGGTACAGATTGTCATATTGAAAGCTGAATATCTATTTTTCGTTATTTATGCACGGTTTGGATCTTCCACCATTACAACCGATCTCCGGGCAACAAAAATGAGTCCACTCGGAGAAAATGGCCGCTTTGGAAAGCGGACTCAATGGCCTTAGACCCCACCGAAGCCCTCATTTCCCCAAACTCTGCCTTTCTCAGGTGCCACTCCCCAAATCTCCAGGTACTTTCCAACCCAGAGCTAGAGCGTCCCCCGTGTGATGTGCACCGGGCATGTTGGGAGGGACAGGGCTCTTTAGGGGCGGGGCTCTCCCCACTGGCTACCTGCCAGTTCAGACCCCATCAATGTTCCAAGTTGGGAAAACTCCTGGGGATTTGGGTGTGGAGCCTGGGGAGGACAGGGACTTCAATGGGGCACAGTGCCATAGAGCCCACCCTCCCAAGCATCCCTCTGCAGTCTGGAGATGAGCTGTAATTTCAGGGGATCCCCAGGTCCCACCCGGAAGCGGGCATCCCTACTTGTGATTGTTATTGTCAAGGGGGCACTTCAAGAAATGGCCCTGTTAAAAATGAACTTGCTTTATAGAACTTGCCTGTCTTGAAAGTCCTGAGGATCCCTGGCGAAGGCCTCGCAGGCTTCCTCATTTGATGGCTCCACATATGTCGGGAACTCTTTAGGCTGGTGTTTCAAGGCGGCCAGGCAGAGCTTCCGTTCCAGGCCCTGCTCCGTACAACAGGCCGCTATCCCCGGGTGCTTGGGGAAAGGAGCAGTGTCATGGCAAGATCTGGCAGAGAGAGCTAAAGACTGGTGCGGGTGGGAGAAGAACAGGAGAGAGAGAGAGAGAGAGAGAGAGAGAGGTTGAATCTGCATTTGTTTTTCCCACCGGTGTCCCAGCCTTTTGACTCCATCTTCAAAAAAGCTGTCTACATTTGGTGTCGTTTTCACACCTCGAGAGTGCTAGCATACTTTTGCACGTCCACATATGTTTATTGTCCTTTCCGGGCTCCACTGTCATTGCACCTCTGCACTGCTTTAAAAGAATCTTCTCCAAACAACATTCAAACAAGCATAGAGAAAGACGGCGTCACAGCAGCATGAAACTAATTTAAAAATGCAAGTGCAGATTCGACCTTGAGTCAGCTGCAGCCGCAAGTTATCAGGGGCGTTTAGAAGGGTTGCCAATCTCCAGATCTATGGCACTATACCATAGTCCATGGCATTATACCCTCCCCAAGATCCACCCACCAAATTTCCAGGTATTTCCTAACCCATGGCTGACAACTAGTGTTCCCTCCAAGCTGAGTTAGTGTGAGCTAGCACACAGTTTTTTTAGCCTCGGGCTCACACATTTTTGTCCTAGCTCAGGAAGGGATGGCTCCAGAGCAAGCTAATTGATGCCAAATCGCTCGCTCACAACTTTAATGCCAGTAGCTCACAAAATAGAATTTTTGCTCACAAGACTTCCCAGCTTAGAGGGAGCATGGCCTGACAACCCTAGCCTTTGGGTATAGTTGGAGATGCACAATCTCTGGAAATTCTGAAGCCATGATTGGGGGGGGGGAGGAGGAGGACTTTTCAATGCTAACATTCAGTCCTCACATATGTATTCTCAACAAGGAGGATTATAAATCCTCTATATTTTAGTGTATTTCTTTTTCAGAATCGTAGGCCCCAGTCACACGAAAGGTTTTGGGCCAAGAGAGGGACGAATTGGGGGCACAGCAAACGGGCGTGATCCCACTGCAACATCAGGGAAATGTTGCGCAGCCGTCCCCGATCCGGCCCTTCCGGCCGAAAACCCACATCAAAAATACACCACCTCCAGAGGAGGTCTTACCGGAACAGCCGGGGCAAGCGCAGCCATGGGATCGCCAGCGCGTCCTTCTGCCGGCGCATCCTCGGCTCTTGGCCGAACTGTGCATGCTCACACATGCGCAGTTCGGCAGCCTCCTGTCGCTTAGTCCCTGGTCTCCCCGGCATCTGATCGTGCCGGGGAGCGATTGCGAGGCGGCTCACGGGATCTGTATGATCCCGCCCGTCCTTTTCCCCCGTGTGGCAGGGACCGTATATTAGAATACTGAATGAATGTCTGCTGACAACTTTACATCCCGCTCAAAATGAATTGTCAAGTGCCCTCCAGGAGTCCTCTGTACCTCAGAGGAGATAATTAAGATTCTGTTACTTCCCACAATGAGGAAAAAAACACCTTTAGACATTTATCTGCTATTCTGACATATTTATTGCTTTACAACTGTTGACCTGATAACCTCAACTTGTTCTTTAGTTTTTTGCTTTGCATAACTTAAACACCATCATGTCACCTGTTAATTTGCTGTTAAATCCCTGTCTATAAGTTTAGAACCTTACCTACCATTCCAATGTATTTGAAAAAGTATGCATTGCACATGAAAGCTCATCCCTTGAATAAACCTTTGTTGGTCTTAAAGGTGCCCCACTGGACTCTACATTTGTTCTACTGCTTCAGACCAACATGGCTGACTACCTGGATCTATCTTCAAAGAACAAGTTAATCTGTGAGTTCGTAAGCCCGTTAGGGCGGAAACAGGCTGTATCCACTTCTATCACGATGGGGGGGAAATACAGAAACATACTTCGTTCTCATAGCAATCAGGATCAGCTCCTTCTGGGCAGCATTTCTCTGCAATGGAGACAAAGTCTTTCACGACATTAAGGATTTCCTCAAATGTGGCATTGGAATATTTCCTGCTGCTCGCGATAATTGCCCTGTGGACAAATAGACGTGAGGGATTCAAGGTCATACTCAGGGAAATTGTTCTGCTCCATCTGTTCCCTTCTTTGTGAATCTTGTTAATACACAGAGGAGGATTCGGTTCAAGTAGGGTTACTGGCACGGTTTGGGGGGTTGAGTTGCCAGATCCAGGTTGGGAAATTCCTGGATATTTGGGGGTGGAGTCTGGGGAGGGCAGGGACCTCAGTGGGGTACAAGGCCATAGACTCCACCCTCCAAAACAGCCATGTTCTCCAGGGGAGCTGATCCCTGTAGTCTGGAGATGAGCTGTAATTCTGGAGAATCCCCAGGTACCACCTGGAGGCTGGCATCCCTAACTGCAAGTGAAATCTGAATTTTAAAACTAATGAGAGGCAGCCCCCCCCCCAGTTTATTTTCTTGTCTCTCTCTTTAAATTGCACCGTCCTTTTCCTTTGTCTGATCTGAGAGTTCTGGTATTATTTATTTATTTAAAACATTTTTATGCCCACCTTTCCACCCAGTTCAGGATTTCCAAGGTGGCAAGCAGTTAATACATTTTTCAAAAATGAAAATGAATTATTTAATAAAAAATGAAAATGAATATATATATATATTGCCCTATATAATCTCCTTATAATTCTGTTTTGGGATGAATGTTCCACATGCTCCCACAGCATTTGGCTCCCTCAGTTGCCACTTGGAAGGTCTGCCAATCTCCTGGCTGCATTGCCTTGCTGCATTGCCTCAGTCCTGCCCGCAGAGCCAACGGCCAGTGTTTCGATCTCAGTCTGGAGGGAGCCAGTGAAGGGGATGGATGCTCCGTTGGGCAGAGGCTTAGTAGGCAGCCCAGTGTGGTATAGGAGAGCTCCCCACTGATTATGAGCAACGGGTATTCCCTTTTCTCCTCTGCGCTTCCTCCTCAGGTGTTCCTTTGTTGGTCTTTTTTCCTCCTGGAGGGAGTAGCAACCCCTCCATGGCCCAAAAGGGAAACAGAGGAGTGGCCACCAGGAAGGATGCTGAAGGGCAGGGGCCTTCATAAGGCGACCCTGACAACTGGCCAGAAAGGAGAAGGAGGCAGACCTAGGGAGTGGTGGCAAGCACAAGAAGGACTCACCTTTGCTTCCCCTCGTGGCCTGTTTCCCTTGGCCGCAAGGCCGGGAGTTCCTCATGGAGAGAGCTCAGCAGGTGGTCCCACAGAGAAAGCTGGCCACTGCCTTTTAGAGGCTCCCCCTGCCTTCCTTTAGCAGCAGCAGCAGCAGCAGGGAGGGTCTGGCTAAGAGGAAAGGAGCTGCAGCTCCTGGAAAGCCAAACGCCAGGAGGAAGAGCAGGAAGGAGCTAGTGCCTAAAGTGCTGCGGGAGCTGCATGCAGCACTGTGGGCAGAGCACGAAGTGCAGGCAGGAGGTGAAGGAAGCCCCGGCAGGAGCCGCCAAGGGGCTGCCAGGCAGGCAGGCACGGTGGCTGGAGGAGCTCCCGCGCTCGCTTCACTGAGGCAGCCGAGCACCTTGGGGAGGCCTGTCAGTCAGCGGCCACCTCCCTTTGTTGAGAAAGAGTGGACCAGGCACAAAGGCTTCTCCTCACACCTGCTCCCCCCCTCATTGTTTCTCACGGAGATGCTGCTGAGCGCTCGCTTTCTCCCCCCCCCCGGCCAGGGCTCTGCAGAGAGAGGGCTTCCACTCTCGAGGGAGGGAGGCGGGCGGGTAAAAGACTCTGAGTGCCCCCTTCATATGGGGGAGGTAAGTTTGCTACCCTTTCAGTGGTGATGCGCTAAGTACAGGCACGACGACACCCAGAGGCAAGGCTTGTTGCACCTTTAAAAGACTCGCCAAGGAGGAGGGCCAGACCGACATCTTGCTAGCGCTCATTGTATTCCTTTTACAACGAGCTTTGCTATTAGTATATATACACTGGATCTGACCCACTGACTTCACAGAAGGGTTGCCAGCCTCCCGGTGGTACCTGGAAATCTCCTGGAATAGCAACCTATCTCCAGATGACAAAGATCAGTCCCCCTGGAGAAAATGCCTGCTTCGGAGGGTGGGCTCTATAACATTGTACGCCGCTGAGGTCCCTCACCTCCTCAAACCGGGCCCTCCCAAGGCTCCACCCCCGCCCCCAAATCTCCAAGTATTCCTCAACCCAGACTTGGCAACTTGACTTCACATACTACTTAAAAACAGGGTGATAGCTACCTAGTATGTTGTCAGAACAGGAGATTTTGTTAAGTGCCAGTCCTGGCCATCTCCAACTCTCCAGTTCTTCTTGGCTCCAGCCAGTCTTGCCAGAGGAGGACTTGGCTCCCTGGCCTGATGGGTTCGCTCAAACCACCCCAACCTATCAGGATCTTCTTTGCTCTGCCCCTCCCCAAGGCTGGTAGTTTTGAGCCTGAGTGTTGTCAGCCTACACAAAGGAAGGGTGAAATATTTCATGATCTCCTTTACGTCGATAGTTTTACAAATTGTAGCTGGTGAATGCTAGCAAGGCTGAACGTATGAGTAGGACCCCGCTCAGGGGAAGTCTTCAGGATACATACCCAGCTCGGAAGTGTTCTTTCCCTTAGCTGTTGAATTCTCGACAGACTTTTTCTCTCATGTAATCTCGCCCTGGGGGGGGGGGAAAAGAGCAAGGAGAATAGTGGTCAGTTTTTTTAAAAAATCACCGATTGCATTTCCTGCATCCAGATGTCGAGTCCTCTTTGATACGAAAAGAGGCGCAGAGTTTGACTGAAACGTGGCTGCTTTTGAAGGCAAAGACTTATCGCTTGGTTCCTTTCAGCAGCTAATTTTGTTCCGTAGTTCGCCCTTTTTCCTGAAGTATGGGGGGGGTAGTCATCACTGGAAACAGGGGAGGGTTGCCAACATCCAGGTGGGGCCTGGTGACCTCCGGGAATTACAGGACTCCAGACTGGTTTCCCTGGAGAAAGTGGCGGCTTTGGAGGGGGGACTCTATGGCATCACACCCTTCCTCAACCCTGCCCCCCCAGGTTCCACTCCCCAAATCTCCAGGAATTTCCCCGCCTAAAGTTGGCAACCCTTAAACAAGGCTTTTTTTTTTTTTGCAGTTGCTCCTCAATTCCAGAACTTGCTCCCTACAGCTATTTGCCAGGCGCTAGGGTTGCCAGGCTAGACCTGGTAAACAGTAGGAGGTTTGGGCGTGCGGACTGGGGGAAGGGTGTCGCATTGTGTGCACCTCTATGTCACTGCCAGGAGAAACCTAGCGTGTCTGGCGATTCCTAGAGCGACCCTACATCGCTTCCAGGCAGATCCTGAGAGGGAGGGCAGGAAGGGTTGCATCAGTGCTTACTTCTTGTGGTTCTTTCTTACATGCCCAGGGAAATGGTGATCACCATTTTGGGGCCAGGAAGCCATTTTTTGCCAGGTCATTTTGGCTGGAGATCCTGGAGGTTTTTTTGCAATCTTCTGAGCATGGAACAGGGATGTGTGTGTGTGGGAAGTATTTGCGAATTTCCTGCATTGTGCAGGGGGTTGGACAAGATGACCCTGGAGATCCCTTCCAACTCTATGATTCTGTGATTCTATTCCTGAACCCCAATCCCAATGGTTTTAACATTATTTCCCCACCACCCTCCTTCCCCTCCTTCAAGACGCTGAACTGCAGGCTGTGGAAGGTCAGTAGTTCAGCAGTTCGAGACCCGGGTGCCGCATGATGGAGTGAGCTCCCATCTCTAGTTCCAGCTCCTGCCAACCTAGCAGTTCAAAAGCAAGAAATTGCAAGTAGATAAATAGGTACCGCTTTGGTGGGAAGGTAACAGCGTTCTGTGCGCCTTGGTGTTTAGTCATGCCGGCCACATGACCACGGAAACGTCTTTGGACAGCGCTGGCTCTTCGGCTTTGAAACGGAGATGAGCACCACAACCCTAGAGTCGGATTCGACTGGCTTTCGAGCAAGGGAACCTTTACCTTTACCTTTAAATGCAGAGGTCAGCAGCCAGAACAGTGCTTTCCAGCATATTCTGAAACACATATCCAAAGGACTGGAGAACAGTCAAATGTCCACCACTGTAACTGAGGTGAGGTTTTCTACCTCCACGTGGCACCTGGAGATTTACTGCAATTACAGTTGGTCTCCAGCAACGTTCCCTCTAAGCCGAGTTAGTGTGAGCTAGCTCACAGTTTTTTAGCCCCCGGCTCACACATTTTTGTCTTTGCCCAGGAAGGGATGGCTGCGGAGCAAACTAATTTATGCAGCAGCCCAATCGCTCCCTCACAGCTTTAATGCCGGTAGCTCACCAAGTAGAATGTTTGCTCACAGGACTCCACAGCTTAAAGGGAGCATTGGTCTCCAGATGACAGAGATCAGTTCCCCTGGAGAAAATGGCTGCTTTGGAGGGAGGATACTATGACATTATACCCCGGTGAGGTCCTTCTCCCCCCCCAAACCCCGCCCTCCCCTGGATCCACGCCACAAACATCCAGGTATTTCCCAACCCTAGACTGAGGTGGAACTGAATACAAAGCCCAATCCACATCATACCTTTTATTAAGGCCAGATAAAAGGATGCGGGCCCTGACCCGGCTAGCCCACGCGACCCCAATCTCGGAAGCTAAGCAGAGTCGCTACTGGCTAGTATTTGGATGGGGAACCTCTAAGGCAGTGATGGCGAACCTTTTAGAGATGGAGTGCCCAAACTGCGACCCAAAACCCACTTATTTATTGCAAAGTGCCAACACGGCCATTTAACCTGAATACTGAGGTTTTACTTTAGAAAAAACAACTCATACATTAACTTAAGACGACCCAAACAAAGTAAGGAAAGCAATCCCAAATGCTTTCATTTACTTAAAATTATTTGGCAGAGAATTCGACACTTTAATGATGGTCTGGGCGGAGCCGGCGTTTCCCCTTTAAGAGCAGTTGCGTTTCCCTTTTAAATGCACAAAGCTGGCATTTCCCTGCGAGCCTGATCTCAAGCGGAGATCGGGCTTGGGAGGAAACACGGGTTGCACACACTTAAAGGGAGAGAGAGGGGTGGCTGTGGGCGTTGGGGGTGGGGCTTCCCCCACTGGCCATCTGGCCGGTGGCGGGTAGAACCCCCCCAAAACGGGGGACCCCTGGCAAACCGGGGGGTTTGGCAACCCTAGTTCGCCACCACTGCTCTAAGGAATACCATGGTCGTGACACGGAGGCAGGCCATGGCGAACCACCTCTGCACGCCTCTTGCCTTGAAAACCCCACCAGGGGGTGCCCTAAGTCAGCTGTGGCTTGACGGCACTTTCCGCCAAGGAAATGAATTTCTGAGTTTACTGGAACTTTTCATCAGGCAGAATGTAAAAAAAAAAAAGAGTTGGGGACGGGGGAGAGAAAAGGATCGCAGGCCATGATTTGAAGGCTTTAGAAGGGGGATGGAACCGCCCTTCCATACAGTCTCCTTCGAAAGCGTCCATGTATGGTGCCTCTCTCTCAAATCCGCCAAACCACCGGGCTGATAGAGACAGAGGTGTTTTTTTTTAAAAAAATCCCCTCAGCATCTCGCTCATCTTACAATCCCTTATTCTGATAACATTTCTGCTTCTTTGGAGAGACATAATCCTTGACTTAAAGGCAGCTTAATGCTGAAATGATGGCTTCTGAAAATACACAGCACTTAAAAGGATCTGGAGAAGAACCGAAGGGGGGAAAATGTGTTTTCAAATAATGTGTTTGCCTCTCCCTTAATTTGTTTCCCCAGGACACTCCATCCTTTTAATGTACCAGTAGCCTTTTTAAAATTTATTGCAACCTCTTAGGGATAGGAAATATGGGCCCCTTCGCACACCTGTTGTTTGCCTCTTCCCTTCCTAACTCCACAGCATTTAGAATTCCTCGTTTTGCTTTATTCCGAAAACAAAGCAGACAATTTCAGGTGGAAATGTTAATAAGCGATATGGGAAGAGTGGGGGGAAAAAACACAATTCACACTTTCTGGAATGCGGACTCTCAAAAGGCAAAACTTAAAGCAAAGCCAGTTTGGTGTCATGGTTAAGTGCGCGGACTCTAATCTGGGAGGACCGGGTTTGATTTCCCACTCCTCCACTTGCAGCTGCTGGATGACCTTGGGCAAGCCATAGTTTTGTCAGAGCTGTTCTTGAAAGAGCATTTCTCTCAGAGCTCTCTCAGCCCCACCTACCTCACAGGGTGTCTGTTGTGGGGACACTCTGAGTGAAAGGTGAGGCATAAATCCAATTTCCTCCTCCTCCTCCTCTTCTTTTTCTTCTTCACCTCCTCCTCCTCCTCCATCAGTTCACATTGCTTTTTAGTTAATTAACTTTATTGAATTAAAAATTACTTATATTGTGCTTTTGGGCACTAAGGGATTTCCCTACGGTTGACATTTCCAGGATAGAAAATTCCTGGAGCCTGGGGGAAGAAGAAGAAGAAGAAGAAGAAGAAGAAGAAGAAGAAGAAGAAGAAGAAGAAGAAGAAGAAGAAGAAGAAGAAGAAGAAGAAATTGGATTTATATCCCACCCTTCACTACCTGAAGGAGTCTCAGAGCGGCTTACAATCTTCTTTCCTTTCCCCTCCCCACAACAGACACCCTGTGAAGTAGGTGGGGCTGAGAGCTCTCTCTCTCTCTCTCTCTCTCTCTACTCCTGAGAGAACAGCTCTGAGAGAACTTGTGACTGACCCAAGGTCACACCAGCAGCTGCAAGTGGAGGAGTGGGGGAGTCAAACCCAGTTCTCCCAGATTAGAGTCCACGCTCCTGACCACTATGCCAAACTGGCTCTGTTAATATATTTCCTGGAGTGCCTTTATTCTTTTATATACATACATCACATATAGGCTGCCTTTCTCACTGAGACTCAAGGCGGATCATGCAGCGCAAGACAATTGAATCAACAGGATTGGGACAGCGAATACACACGGCAACAGGGTTTGGATGGCAGAATCTGCTTCTTCCCAAAACCGGGGGCCAGTCATGGCTTTACTTCACTTCAGCAGAATGTGCTTGATCAGCACTGCTTTTAACCTAAGGAACATTTTATTGGGAACATTTGGCTGTACAATCTCAGGATAATATATAGTTGACCAGAGAGAAGTACTACTGGACATGTGATTGCACTGGAGGTTTCATTTGTATTTTTGTATTTCTTTTCTTTGCCCAGTGGTTAAACTTTGGAACAATTGTTTTCTGGTCTTTATTCCATATTTTGTATATGTATGATTGTATATATTTTTACATATCAGCCAACATGTTCTGTTTGTATTAGACCTCTGAGGAAGGCCTGTAAAGGCCAAAACGCGTTAGGTCTATTTCATTAGCCCTTGTATGTTTTTATATTTGTATATGAGGTATGAATGGGCCCTTGTTTGTTATTTCAATTTGTGTTGAATAAATAAATGTATATTTTTGTATGTTTCATAATTAGATTTTTAGAGTTGGCCCTCTTCTATTCTTGACTAACCTTTTTAGGTTCTGAATTCTAGGTTTTAGGTTCAGTTTTTTCCCTTTTCTCTTTTTTGTCCTAGCTGCTTTGGGTCCCCATTGAGGAGAAAGGCAGGGTATAAATGCATGAAATAAAAATAATAATAATCTGTATTTCATTTTATACTACCTATGAACAGATCGCCTGAAACAGAAACAGTGGGATCCATAGAAAATGA